CGCGGGCCCGGCCGACCCGGCTCCCCGCCGGCCCGGCTGACCGGCTCCCCGCAGGCCCGGCTGACCTCCCGATTTTCCCGGACATGCCCGGCTTTTGGGGATTTCCCCCCGGACGGGGATTTGAGCCCCCAAAAGCCGGACATGTCCGGGAAAATCCGGACGTATGGTAACCCTACTGTCACCTATCAAAAGAATGTAGGACCCTCAACACTGTAAACAGTTCTCAAAGATCTAGGACATACACCATTCCAATACATATTAGGCAATATTCTTGAAACCCACTTTTTTCTTGGCATTTATCTTGGAATTGGTATAACAAACAAACAAAAAAACACCCTAACCTGTAAAAACACAGGAGCAGTGTGGGGTATTGAAAACCATATTAAACAGTAATCTATCACTTTCAATTCTCTGTGGTTTTCCTTGTCCTGCTTACAGGCAGGCTGTTCTGTAGGGAAGTGGGCAATCAGAGTCAATTGTCCTGCAGACAGCCTGCCAAAAGTAAGTTGGGGTGAGTTGCGCCTCTCTGTTTTAGGGGACAGCTGGCTTTCTCTCTCTGTTTTGGGGTTCTTGTGTGTTATCCTTCTGTATTCTAACAAATAAAGTAGTGCTACTTTACAATCAGTAAGAGTATTTTATGTTTTTCTCTGCATGTATGCCAGAAAACACAACAAGCAGGTTTTTCTGACCAGGTAAATCCTAACCACCAATTTCAACTTCATTTTGTTTGTTTATTTTATTGACTATAAAAGGGGTTGGGAGGATAAAGCCAGGTAAGGAAGGAAGCCTTAGATCTATATCCATAATTTAAAAAAATAATAATAATTAAAAAAAACACCACACACACACAAACACACACACACACACAAAACCCGGCATGAAAGAAAATGGCATTCAAATTCAAGCGTCTTAAAGTCAATGACAGCTGTGGGTATTCAAAAGTCAGGCCTCTTATTTAAATAACTAGCTTTGGGCATCCCGTTTTGAAAGTCTTAACCTAAGTAAATGAGAGGAAGAGGCAGGCTGTGAGAAAGTTATATATCAACATTGTCTGCATTCGTTATATTAGTTAGGTAAATTAATAAGCATTAAGCAAAAGCTGCAATGAGAGGGTGATTTATTTATTTTTGCTCATTGTTAGTGACTTGTTGACTTAATGGATTCCATAGATGTCCAGGGACCATTAATGGGTAATGGCAACACAATGTGGTGGAAACCCCACAGCTAACGCGTTATTTTTTTTCTTTAGTAGCTTGTCATTATTTTTAAAAATGATTACCTGACAACGTGTATCACAGTATCTGGCAATTTTGCACTGAGAGCATCTAAGCAGCCGTTCATTCCTGTAAAAAACATCCTGTATTAGTTATGTAGGAAAAATAAAAATATTTCCAAATATCTGAAGTAAAAAGGAGCCACAAAAAGAACAAATTGCTTGACACACATGCATTTATTTATTTTTACATACAAAGTCAAGGCAAGAATCCAAGGGCTAGAGATTCTAATTTCCTTACTCATACTGAACAGTACCTTACCCTATGAATTGTTTATTTACTAGAGTCAATGGGGCTGCTTGTGTGTTAACAGTAAGATTATCGGAGTCTAGACTAAAGAGGAGTCTCCCTATTCCTGAGATAATAAAACAGGAACCATTTGTTTTTCTTGCTTTGCTACCATACTGTCAAGGAATTAGATTTTGTGGTTAATGCAATAGAATCTCAGACTATGGTGCAGCACAGCTGGATGTTGTCGTCTTTGGAGCCCAGCAACGTGATAATATGTTGCAAGGCAGAATTCAGGTCCCCATTACCTGTTCATTACCTGTCTTAAACAAGATTCTTGCTGTGAATCTGCAGTTGTGACACTGAGTTATTTGCAATGTGAAGTTGACCTGCTAGTGGAAATTTATGCCTTCAAAAAAAAAGATTGCCTGTGATTGGTAAACAATGTGACTAAAGCAAAAACTCCATCTGAAAAAGACTATTGGGGGCGCAAGGGGAAAGATAAGAAGTTTGAACCAGAGATATGTATGAACATTTTAATTATGATTCTACAAAGTGCCTCCTGGCTTGAGTGAGATTCCCTACTGCTGGCTTAATTTAAATCATATGACAAGCTGAGAACTTGACTTGAGGAGAAAATATAATTTACTAATAAAAGTTTTGTAAATTATTAGATGGTGAGGAAATATTTAGCATGAAATTATGCAGAAAATTAATCAAATTTACATGTCATAAATCAAATTCTGCTCTCTGCTGCACTGGCATTAGGATATGCATTGCAGTACATTCTTGCCAATTTCTTAGCTGTCACAGCACCAGCAAAAAGCCCAGAGGTTTTAACTTTATATTTAAAAACAAAGTTAATCATATGCTTTCCCAGCTTATATTGACACTGAGAATATGGTGCTTGCTCTTATAAACAGAAGACTCAAGAGAGAAGAGACTAAATTAAGGACATACTAGCTAGTCAGACTGTATGATTGTCCTTCCTACATTGTGAAAATACTCCTACTAATAGACAGCTGGACACATTTCTTACACTAATAAACTACAGACTTATGCATAAAGACACATAGCCAGTCTGACAGACGTTTAGGTTTGACAACCACTGTACACAACATTAATTATTATATTAATACATTTTTGCATTCCTATAGTGCCTTCCATTTGAAGAGCTGAAAATGGATTACAAACATCAACAGTACAGTATGTCTACACTGCAAGTTAAGGGTGATCATAGCATTGGTAGGCATACCGCACTAGCTTTAATCTACCTTGCACAGGTAACAATGGCAGTGTAGAGGTGGTGGCACGGGCTTCAGCACAGGCTAACAATCAGAGTACTCCAGACTCCCTGTAGGGCTTGTACTCTGGATAGCTAGCTTGTACTGCCACACCTACAGTGCTATTGTTATCCAGGTTAGCTATATTAAAGCTAGCATGAGTATACCTACTCGTGCTGCAATCCCCCTTTGCTTGCAGTGTAGTCACACCCTAAATAACCTTTGCAAGACACGTGAGGCAGGTAACTGTCCCAATTTTACAGATGACAAAAGGAAGGCAGAGGGAAAGAGTAAAGTGATTTGCTCATGTTTATACCTTAAGGCTCAGACCCTGTAAGAATCCTATTGTTTTGTGGCATAAGTGTCTGCCATGTGGATCACTTTGCCAGCTCAGACCTTAAATCAATAGCACAGCTGTCAATAGAAACTAGACATGCTGGACTCTCTGAACTCAAAGAATTTTGTCATTGACCTCAATAGGGTCAGAATTTCACAGTAGGTCTTCTGATATCCAATCTGGTACTTCTGATTTCCAATCAGTTACTTAGACCCAGGGCCGGCTCCAGGCATCAGCTTAACAAGCAGGTGCTTGTGGCGGCCAAGGGAGAGGGGCGGCACGTGCGGCAATTCGGGGGTGGCAGGTCCCTCACTCCCTCTAGGAGCGAAGGACCTGCCGCCGAACTGCCACCGCCGATCGCGGTCTTTTTTTTTTTTTTCTTTCCCCAATTGCCATCGCCGGTCGCGATTGCGGGGTTTTTTTTTGTTTTTTTTTTGCTTGGGGCGGCAGAAATGCTGGAGCCAGCCCTGCTCCATTCTTCTTTCCTTTATTTAAAATCAATATATACTCAGTTACCTCCAACTTTTAGTCCCTGTGCTCACTCTAAATTCACAGCAAATGCCTCAAAGAGTCATATGTCCACATAAAGTGAGATGGCACCAACTTGGTCACAAACCTTAACCAATAATAACTTCTGAGCAATGAATTTGGTCCATTGATTCCATTAATTTAATTTATGGCTAAGAATCTGTAGCAATCCAAAACAACATAATAAATACAGAATGCCAAATAAAATAGATCCCTCTTGAACACAGACTAAGTCCTTTGTTTCACATGTGGAATTCTCACTGGTGTAAATTCTGTACAAAGTTATTGTATCAATGTGCACTAAAATGCACCAGTATCGGCATATTTAAACTCATCGCTGATTTAACTTTGCCTTTTTTAAGATTCTTATAAGTGATGGGGAGAAAATAGATAATGTCAAACATACACTAAATATAAGAGAAATTAAAATATAGCCATGTACTTATGTGGAAATAAAGAAATACAAGTTATGTAATATGCAGAAATATTTAGAGAGAATTCATGATGGTGAACTGTGGTATAAATGTATGAATTTGGGTTTCCATTATTATTTAAATGGAGCAAAGCCAATGATTTCAATATACAGTGCATAAAAGTACATATGATGGTGTGAAGCAGCTTAAAAATTTTATCTACGTCAGGTCAAATAACTGCATTGGTCACAAGTTGTAATGCCACGAATGAATCAGATGGATCATTCCAAACGAGTGCCAATCTTTGCGCATTAACTTTCTTATTCTCCAACCCCTTTATAGTTGAACTCAGGATACCTTACAGAATATGTTGTGTTGTGTGCTGAATACCATACAACTAGCAGAAAGAAAGTATTTTAGAAATGTCTGAGATTAAAATCTTGTTATTGCTACTGTCTTTCACCCTACCTACAAAAGTAAGGGCCTTGGTATCATGAGTTCAACTAGAAAGGGCTTGGAGAGTAAAAAAACTAATAATTTTTAAAATCTTCTAAATAGTCCCTAAAAATCTTTCCCATGCAAAATAGTGTTTTATTTTAGAATCCAATGTCTGGGGACAATCCAAAGCTAGAATCAAGTGCTGGAAATCTCCCCTCTCCAATTGTATAAAGCTCTCATTTCTAGGGCCCAGAAATATAAGAACTCTATCAAAGCCATTGGTGAAGAACTGAATATTTCTCATTCTGGATTTGGACCTCAGATCAGTATAATGTAGGGGGAAAGAATTAAACATTTTTGTGGTAGGTTTATTTAGTATGAAAAGAAAAGGACAAAATGATTGCTCTTTGGAGCTGCTCAGATATCTGAATGTCAGAAATAGTCCACGTGGCGACAATTAATGGACGCACACACACACGCCCAAAATTATATCCATCTGGACTAGTTCTGAGACATACATTTTGTAATACTGATCAACATGTTCTGCCAGGGATACAGGATAATCTTCAGGAAATCTACCCTTTCTTTCTAAAAATGGGGAAAAACCTCCATATTTATTTTAATTATGTACATTAATGAGACGTTTTCTCCAGATCTTTCAAATCACAGGCAGCACACACTACAAAAAATTCTATTTCCTGGGTCATCAACATGTTATCGTGGAAGTCAGCCATACACAACAGATTCATCATGCTCAACACTATCTCTTGAAAATGTGTATGGTAACATGGAATGATATAGAAAAGTAGAGATCTACGAACATCATTTTCTATATTATCATATAAAATTCTTGAGATTGTCACTTTCTGGAGTTTCCCCAAGTTGTTCTGCATAGTTGCATCATTACATAGTTTTGCAGGAATAGAAGCAGATCACAGGGCCTTTAGGTCTTCCTTATTTTGGATTATGGAAATGAGGAACTCTGTATACAAAGTGTTCTACATCAATAGGTAAGAGCCTCTATTGAACTTCTCTCTTTAGTCATTTAAATAATATTGTTTGACACAGTGTGATCAGGCAAACATTTTGTAAACACTCCCATTTAATTCTATCCATGCAAGTTCTACCAGGCGCTACTTAACTAAAATCTCTGTGCATCATTTGAAAGTTAACCCCTAATTCAGCCAGGTGCAGAAGGGTTGAGCAAAAGAAGTTTTTGTGCAGACCTTCTGTACTAGGGTAAATTTCACCCTACCAGAATGATGATGAACTAGTATTTACATTAGGCAACATATCTATAGTTATAATAGCTGAAGTGAAACAAGATCTTAAAGTACCAAAAAGTAATACTCAAATCCATTATCCATTGCAAATATGACCTTCAAGAGCCATGATTTATATGAATGCATCCCTTAGCAATTTAAGAACTTTCTAATACAGATCCATATTTTAGGTCTTGCATCTGTACTATTTAACTCACAGCACTGTAATGTATGACCTTGACATACTGTTGCAATATCTTCTTTCAGTATTTTAATTTTCTTCCTAAAAGATGCAAAGACTTGCTGAAATAACTGAAGTTAAGTACAACAAATATTTTATTCTGCCATCTGAAAAACGCACATAGCTTGGACCTGACAGCAAGGGGCTAAGCTCCTTCAACTCCCACTGAAACCAATGGGAGACAACAGTGTTCAGCACTTGGCAGGATTGGATCCCTTTTTTACCAACATTTAACAATGAAGTGGTAACAAAGATACAGAACATTACTTCAAGTTTATTTCCAACATCTGACACTAGCAACCAAAGTATTTGAAGAATCTGATTCCCTACTGGTACTGT